AAGGGCCAAGTGGCATCTCTTTTCCTGGGGATGTCCCAGAAGTGACATCAGGTTGGCTGCTATAGGTGAGCTGAGCAGAAGAACCAGGAGACTTGCTGGCAGTCTTCATTCTTCTGTGTTGCTCAGGTCATGGCCTCTGGTTCTCCTTGAAATGCCCCTTTGAGCCTCTGAATTGCTTGGGGACCCATCCAGGACAGTGGTTCCCAGCTCCCCTTTTGTGTAATACTTTGTGTGCCACTGTACTACTCTGAAATGAAATTCCTGGATAATATGCCTGCCACACACAATTTCAAAAAATATAAAATTAATCTGAGCAGTAAGATAATGTATAGAAAAAGGATTCTTTTTATAATTTTCTTCAGATAAGGTCTCACTTTATGGTCCACACCAGAGCCCAGTGGCATCATTATAGCTCACTGCAGCCTTGAACTCCTGAGCTCCAGGGATCCTCCTGCCTCAGCCTCCCAAGAAGCCGGAACTACATGCCCATGCCACCAAGCCTTTACCCAAGCAAAACCCACTGTTTCTTGTACAGATGGGGTCTTACTATGTTGCCTAGGCTAGTCTCAAACTCCTGGTCTTAAGTAATTCTCTGGCTTCAGCATCCTAAAGTCCTGGGATTGCAGCTATGCGCCACTGGGTCTGGATGAGGAAAGTATTAATAATTTATTACAAAATAGGCCTGGTGGCTCATGCCTGTAGTTCTAACACTCTGGGAGGCCAAGGTGGGAGGATTTCTTGAGCTCAGGAGTTCAAGACCAGCCTGAGCAAGAGCCAGACCCCGTCTCAACCAAATTCAGAAAAATTAGCCCAGCATTGTGCCAGGTGACTTTAGTCCTAGCTGTTCAGGAGGCTGAGATGGGAGGATTGCTTGAGCCAAAGACTTTGGGGCTACAGTGAACTAAATAGAGCCATTGTACTCCAGGCTGGGCCACAGAGCAAGACCCTGTCTCAAAATTAAAAAAGTAAAAAAAGACACATTCAAAGGTCTTCAGACTTTGCAGACTACATGATTCCATTTATAGGATATAATTGCAAAAGGAAAACAGTAGAGAGAGCTGATCATTAGTTGCCATAGTCAAGTGGAGAGTTCAGAAGGGTAGACTAAAAAAGGGCAAAGAAGAATTGCAAGGGGGGTGACAGCACTGTCTACATCTTTTTTTTTTTTTTTTGAGACGGAGCCTCAAGCTATCCTCCTGGGTGGAGTGCCATGGCATCACGCTCACAGCAACCTCCAACTCCTGGGCTCAAGCGAGTCTCCTGCCTCAGCCTCCCAAGTAGCTGGGACCACAGGCGTCCGCCACAACGCCTGGCCATTTTTTGGTTGCCGCCATCATTGTTGTTTGGCGGGCACGGGCTGGGGATTCGAACCTGCCACCTTCGGTGTATGTGGCTGGCGCTTTAGCCGCTTGAGCCACAGGCGCTGAGCCGACATTTTTTTTTTTTGAGATAGAGTCTCACTTTGTCGCCCTCAATGAGTGCTGTGGAGTCATAGCTCATGGCAACCTCAAAGTCTTGGGCTTAAGCAATTCTCTTACCTCAGCCAGTGCATATAGCCAGAGCCCTAACCACTTAGCTTCAGATAATAAGCCAGTACTGTCTACATCTTGATTGTGGGTGGTCTTGGTTACTAAACCGAATACCTTAAAAATGGCAACAGAAATTGAAAAAGACCCCAACAAAGAATGGAGCAAGCTATATCAGCAAAGTGAAGCAAATGAAAGACAGGAGGCCAGTCTCGATAGTGACAAAATATAATCAAGGGAAAATTCATTTAGGGACAACATGGTATTATGTACAGGTAAACAAGAACAACATTATATGATATATAATCATAGAAGATATAATGATCATGCTACATATCTAACGATGTGCTTGAAAACACATAAAGCAACAAATAATAGAACAATGTAGACTAAAAGGAAAAGCCGCCATTTACGTGGAGAGCTTCGATATGCCCCTCAAACTGAACAAGCAGACAGAATGAGCAAAGACAAACAGATTTTTTTTTTTTGCAGTTTTTGGCCGGGGCTGGGTTTGAACCCAGCACCTCCCGCATATGGGGCCAGTGCCCTACTCCTTTGAGCCACAGGCGCTGCCCAGACAAACAGACTTTAACAACACCATAGTAACCATGGGGGAATAGATGTACGTTACACCCAACAGCGAGAGGATGTGTGTTTTTTGGCAAGAGCACAAAAGAAACATTCACAAAAGCCTGCCGTGTACTTGCCACAAAATAAGACGGTTTGCAAAAAAACATTCACATTATACAGATTATGTTCTCTTATGTCAATGCATAAAAATAATGATAACAAAAGGATGGCGAGAGATAATTCATATGTGTCTGTGCTTTAAACATATATTATAAAATAATTCATGGGTTTACAAGGTAAACATCATGAAATTGCCAAATACAATAGAACCTCCATGACCACATCCCTACGTTGATGACCTCTGTTAGTTGACCTGATTTTCATACACCAGATATGCACCACATGTACAGTAGGCCTAGTTCCATATGTTGACCACCTCAATACGTTGACCAGCTGGTTGTTGTCCTTTGGATGGTCAACTTAGAACAGAGGAGAATAACACTCAGTGCCACAGGGTAACAAAAGGACATGGAGGGAAATTGGTAGCTTTAGATAAGTAACCTAAAACAAGAAAGATTCATTGTTTGTTTTATTTTATTATTATTATTATTTAGAGTATTTAACTGAAGAAGCTAGGAAAAGGTCTACAGAGAAAACTAAAAAAAAATTACAGCAAGGGAAAAAAGGAAATAATTAAACAAAGGCAGAAATCACTTAATAAAAGAGAACAAAATCAATAATGTAGACTGAGAAAACACAAGCTTATTTTTAAAATATTAAGGTAATAAGCCGTGGTTGTGACTATTCCAGAACTTTTCTAAAAAAAAAAAAAAGATGTAGCTGATGTTTCCTTCTTCTTTTGTTGTTATTGTTGTTCTTGTTGCATTTTGGCCAGGGGCAGGTTTGAACCCACCACCCTTGGTATATGGGACCTGCGCCCTACCCACTGAGCCACAGGCACCACCCTGATATTTTCTTTTTGTGTGAAACAACAGGGTAGAGGCCTGGACACTGTGTGCTACTCTGCCACCTCCTTGTCACACAACCCCTTTGCCCTGGACAGACTGGGCAGACTGGGGCACAGCATTCTGGGACTTCTGGGCTTTCCCCTCTAAATATCTCTGTAACTGCATCGAGGGACTCAAAGAGAGGGGGGAAGAGTAAAATGTCCAGGGAGGTAGCATTTAGACTCCTGGAGCAGAGCAGCTATATTATCCACCCATTCCCAGAGGTGGTGGCCTGTGTTCTGAAGACAAGTGGAGGAAGGGGAAAGAGTCTACAGGAAGATGAGAGGCAGAGACCTCATTCTGAAACATGAGAATGTTTCAGAAACATGTCCCCATGTCCAGACACTAGTACCAGATCCAAAGCAGGCAAACCACCTGCCTCTTCCCACTACCCTCCTTTTGGGTATGGTCCTGCTCCAATCCTGTCCCATGAGAGCAGTCCCTGTGTGGGTGACATAGGCCAGAGGCAGACGAGCTATGGCAGGGATAAAATCCTGCATGGCCTCTGTCCCTACCTGGCTAGACTGAGTCATGCTGGGCACTGTCACTAGCAGAGGCTGCTGGAAACTCTGCTGACGGGGTCAGAGCACTTCTGAGGAAGCTGGGACTTCTGAGGAAGCTGGCAGAGAGCCTGACCTTGGCACATGCCTGGACTCTGCCCAGGGTTGGCTGAGGCTGAGCTGCTTGAGTAAAGCAGCTGAGGCCTCAAGCTTGGGTGTTGGGATGAGAGCTCAGAGGGACATCCCTCTGCCTGCATGCCCTTGTGGCCCTCATCCTCTGCAGAGGATCCTAAAGGAGATGCAGCCTTTTGTGGTCCCAAGACCTGGTGAAAAAAGCCCAAGGAGAGGACGCAGAGAAGAGAGGGGCAAAGATTCTGGAGGGGACAGAAGAGTCAAGGGAGGGAACCAAGACAGGAGGGGAGGGAGAAGACAGGAGTGAGGGGTAAAGAGACAAAGAGGGATGTAGCATGAGAGGCCCAGCGCTGGCGGGGGCACTCATGCATGTGTGTGCCTGTGTGTACATGTGCCTATGTGTCTGTGTTGCTCTGAGTGTGTCTGTGGTTCTCAATGTGGGTCTCAGGGTCTCCATATGTGGCTGTGGTCAGAGTTATGGGCATTATTTTCTTGTCTGTGTTTCTGTCTGAGTGTGTGTGTGGTTGTGCGTGGCTGCATCTAGGTTTCCAATGGCATCTATCCCCTACTTTGGCTGAGGGGCTCTGGTGGTCGCATAGCAGATGGCCCTGTCTCTGCTGGGTCTGGGGTGATGTTGTCTCCCTAACCCAACACACACATGCAGTCTTGGAAGCAACAGATACTGGACTGGGAATCCCAGGACCTGGGTAGGTTCCTGAACTGTCTGTGCCTCCGTCTCCTGGGATGAAAATCAAGGCAAAATGGTCACCCCTTGGCTTGTCTCCTCTGCTTTTCTCTCTCACTCTTGTATGCATCACTCTCAATGTCTGTCTCTCTCCATCGCTCTGTTCTGTCCCTGTCTCTTTCTGTCGCGCTTACAAGACCACCCCTCTCTGCCTTTGCTTCCGTCCCTCTGCAGGAGGGTGAGCCCAACCCACTTCCACCAAGGCGCAGCGAGTCTTGGCCTCTGGCCTTTCCCATCGCCTGCCCCCCTGGTTGTCCTGTCTCTAGGTCTAGCGACAACTCTCCTGATCCAAGACCACTTCCTCTACAGAACCTGTCCCTTCCCTAGAGTGGATCTGCCCACCACTTAGGGTCCAGAGACTGGCCAAGGCTTGCTGGAGGCTGAGGGTCAGTGCCGCTACCCCTTCTCTCCCCTCCCTCCTCCAGAGACAGAGACGGACACCAGGCAGTGCATTTACAGAGGTTTATTTTCCGGATTGCAGGGGCGGGGCGCGGTGGGCACATGGGGAGTGGGGAGCAGCTCAGTAGCCGCCAGGCAGCGCCAACTCAGCGGGCTCGGGAGCTCGTGCCAGTTGCACCAGCCGCTGCAGCAAGGCCCCGGCGGGCCCGTCCAGCTGCGTGGCGTTGCTCCGGTCGCTGGCGCGGGCGTGGCGGTGAGAGCCCTCTCGGCACTCAGGAGCCACCGTGCAGCTCTCTAAAGGGAGGACAGTGTGAGCGCCTCAGCCTCACAGATGACTGACCGGCCGCCGGACCTCTCCGGCCCAGGCTGCGCCCGCCCTGCCACGCCCCCACCTACGGGGTCACGCGCCGGTCACGCCCCCAACCCAGGCACGCCCCACCCCGCTCCGCCCCGCTCCGCCCTGACTCAGGTCTCCCAGCTCCCACTGCCCCCAGGATCCCCGCAGCTTTCCCCCGGCCTCAGCTCCCCCCCTACAGCCGAGGTCCCCCAAACACCACTGTCCGCAGACCCCGCCCCGGCCCCCGCCACTCACGACGATCGCAGCAGAAGCCCGCGGAGGAACAGCGGCCCTCATTCCCGCAGGGCTTATGGCCGGACTGGCAGGGTGACGACAGGTAGTTCTCCTCCTGGCAGCGCAGCGCCTCAGTGGTGCCCATGAAGCAGCCCACCTCGTCCAAGCAGCAGATGCTGGGCCCGAAGCAGCGCCCGTTGTCCTCGTGGCCGCAGGGGAGGCACTGAGGGAACCGGCGAGGATGAGAGAGAGAAGTGGGGGAGACCAGGGGTACAGGGGTACCTGGTGAGGCAGGGCAGTGTGTGCGGGGGCAGGGATGCTGGAGTACCGGATTTGCGGGGGCCGGGGGCCAGAATCTACTAGAGTGTCTTCCGGTGACTGAGGACCAACTCTTAGTAATAGACCTTTGCATCCTGGCCCTCAGCTGTGGGACCAGTCTCCCATGGGCTACAACTTGTAGAGGGGAGAGGACTTTCCTTCTCAGTTCTGGGACCATCATGGAGTCACCATTCTGTGGGCCACGCACCTCCCTCCCCTATTCCAGACCTTCCCCCAGCCCCTATCACGGCCTCCCTTGATCCATAGTCCATTCACCCTACCCTGCTCCCCCCAGCAGAGGGTCCCCCCCCAATCTAAATGTATACAACCCTTCCTCCCATTTCCTGAATCTTCTCCCGACTTATTCTTTACCCCACAGCCTTGGCTACTGGTCTTCAATTAGGGCCCAGACTCATTGCCCGCTCACCTGCCTGTTACCTACCAGTTGGGTGGCAGAGATCTGAGCCCAGGAGGACATGGACACCTGGGTGCCTCAGAGCCCCAAAGGAGCCAGACAGAGGGAAGGTAGGCTGGAGGGGTTGCCCACCTGGCCACTCTAGTTTTCTCAACAGCTCAAAATTGAGTTCAGAATTGCACATGGCAATTGGATTTCTTTTAGCTCTGCTGGAAATGGAATAAACATCTAGCATGAGAGAATCAGGGTGGGTACCCAGCCAAATTTCCTTACAGAATGCTAGGGTAGCACCCAGTACTTGGTGAACTCAGAACAGTGGCCTCCTATGTGGGGGCATGGGTATCTGTGACGGAGAGAAGGCCTCACTCAGGTGCTGGTGGGACAGAGCCTCTGATATGCCAGCTGGTCCAGATGACAGGACCCCATGAGTACAGAGGAGGCCTGACACCCAGTTCTCCCTGATCTAGATCCATGCCCAGTTATTAGAGAGGCATCTCTCACTTTCCTGCATTCCTGTCTGGATGGGGACAGTGTCCAGGAGCCCCTTCACCCCTCAAAACCTGTCCAGTAGCCTGGTCCCCTCTGACCTACCCTATTGACCCTTCTACCCAGCCACACCACACCCCTCCCAAGTACTTCCCCTGAAGGCTGCCTTTTCAGGAGCTTTCCCTCTTTCCTAGCCCCTGAACCTGGGTGCCTGTCCTGAGGAATTGTCCATGCTGGCAACCCTGAGATGGGCCCCGGGAGGCAGTACCTGTCTCAGCTCCACATCAGGCAAGGCCCTCTTGCCACCCCTTGGGCAATTCTGGAAGTAGCAGGCGGAGGACAAGGCCAGCAGGCTGAGGAAGCAGGCGGGCAGCGTGGCGTCAGGCATCCTGGTGCAGGCAGGTGGGCACTGCACACAGCACTGCTTGGCGACTGTGCTGCTGCCTTCTCCGGCTGCCTATTTATGTCCGCAGGTGTTTCCTTGGAGGCGAGGCCTGGCTGCAACCCCCCTCCCCAGCGGCTCCCATGGCCTCCAGATCCCAAGCCGTCAGCAGTGATTCAGGTGTCTGGGGACACACGTGGGCCTGTCTGTGCAGGGGACAGTGGAGGAGGGGTGCAGGACGCCAGGATGTCATTGGCTGCAATGTGACAGGAGCTGCCACCACTGCGACTGAGGCGCTCTGGAGAGAGGGAGAGGCTGGGGGGAGTCACCTAGAAAACATCTCTGAGCTTTCTGGTTGCCTGGGAAAGCTGGGGTGGGGATGAGGGGGCGACAGGACCCCGAGGGGCTAGTGTATTAGGAGCAGACTCGGTCTCTAGCCCAGGAATGTGGGACAGCAGATAGCCAAGTATGTGGGAACCCATCCAGGAGTGTTAGCCCTCTGACAAGACAAGTGACCAAGAACAGCACACACCCAGGATGGCAAGGACAGAGGACTTTGTACTGGCTGTACCAGGAAAGGTAATTCCTGAATGACGGGCAAGGCAGCTGCAGACACTGAGTGAAGGGACAGACCCAGAATCAGAGGGGACTGTTCTCACAGAGTGGGTGTACAGACTTCTGGGGGATGCTCATGATGTGCCTTACCCTATACGCCCACGAAGCGGAGGACAGGAGGGTACAAGGACTCAGGCTCTGAGATGGAGGCCCTTGGAGTCAGCTCCTTGGCATGCCACTATCACTTCTCTTCCAGGCAGTGTGAAGTGGGGAGCTGCTGTGGTGGAATGAGGTTCACAGGTGGGGAGAGAACCCTGTGGAAACTGACAGCTGTCTGCCCCAATTCCTATCTCCTCTAGGATCCTAGTCTGTGGGGACCAGGGCAAGTATCATCCTAGGCTCTGGGCTTAGGAGAAGGTTAGCAGGGGCATCACTAAATAGGCCCAGGCTGAGAAAACAGCTTTTGGCTTCTGGCACCAGAACGGCAGGTCTAAAGAGGCCAGATCCTCCTCTCCCCCAAGCCCCTGGAGTGCCTCTCTGGTCTTGGATTCAGGCTGACCACCCAATGCCTCTCAGGCTGTGCACAGCCCCCACCTCTCACAGGCCCCCCCAGGTTTGACCTCTTCATTAGGGTGCAGCTGAGTGCTTCAGGGAAGCTCCATGGGACACGGTGTTCTCCTCCCTACCAAGTACAGTGAGGGGTTCAGTACCCAAGGAAGGACCCTCCCACATTCAGCACATGACAACACCAGGGTTTTCAGCAATGACCCCTGAGGGGCTATGAAGACACCATGAGAGGCAGTGCTGGGCAGCTGTCATGGCAGGGATGCTTGATTCTAATGTCCTCGGTTCCTTGGATTTCATGGCTTGGGCAGCTCCCTGAACTTCTCTGTGCCTCACTTTCTTCCAATGTAAAGTAGGCAGGATAACACTACCCACCTCATAGGTTGCCATGAAAACTGAAATAATTCAATATATGAAGGCTTTAGAAAAGTGCCTACCCATTGTAAAGTTAATGAACAGTGGTATTGAACATAGTTATCTGTTATTAATGCCATTATTTTTATGAAGAGTTGAAGAGACTATTCCAGAGAGAGCAGCTCCCTGGATTAACCCAGAAGGAATATTTTTAGCCAATTCATGGCCTGAAGACAACCCTGGTCCGTAGGTGTTGCTCTGTTAAAGCTCCATAGTGTAGGCCAGGAGCAGTGGCTCACCCCTATAATCCTGGCATTACAGGAGGCTGAAGTGGGAGAATCATTTGAGCTCAGGAGTTTGAGACCAGCCTGAGCAAGAGTGAGACCTGTCTCTACTAAAAATAGAAAAATTGACAAGCATTGTGATAGGTACCTGTAGTCCCAGCTATTTGTGAGACTGTGTCTCAAAAACGGGGGAGCTACAGTTATGCCCTTCTATGCTAAGTCATGCAGTATATTATGATGATCATCTCTGAGCAACTTTTTGTATTTCTTGGAGTTAGTGGTCGTCTTGGTTTTTCATTTGTGGCCCATCTGCCATTTTTATCCAGAAGTCACCATTTCCTCTTCACTGTCCAAACCAGTCCATTGAAAGTCCTCTATTATCAAGGTCATAAACTGACAGGTGTCTGCCCTAGTTCCTACCTCCTCTAAGGTCCTAGTCTGTGGGGACCAGGGAAGGTATCATCTCAGGGCCAAGTGCTCTGCGTCTAGGAGAAGGTAAGTGGGTGCACCGCTAAGTAGGCCCAGGCCAAAAAAAACAGCTTTTGGTTTCTGACCCCAGGCTGGCAGGCTGCTGGAGTACCTCTGGTCGTGGATTCAGGCTGGCCACCTGAATTGCCAAATTTACTGGTCATGATTATGTTCTCCTTTTATAGTCCCCTAGCAGCATTTGACATGTTTGAAACACTTCTCCTTTATTAAAACATACTTTGTTTGGCTCTATTGACACAACACCCTCCGTTATTTTTTTCTGTCTCCTTTTCTGCCTCTTCCTCTTTCACTTTGACTTCTAAACGTCAGACTCAATCTAAATCCCAGGACTCAGTATTCCTAGGCGATCTATTCTAATCCCGTGCCATTATGTACTTTCTACAAACCGGTAATTCTCAACTTCATATCTCCATCCTGGGGCTCTCCCCCAAGCATCAGACTTGTTACAACTGCCTGATGGCACCTCACCTTGGATATCCAATAGGCCTTTCCAACCTAATGTGCTCAAAGCTGAACTCCTAACACTCAGCTGCACCCCTGCTCTCTCCAGCATCTCTCACTCTGCAATCCTACCACCATCCAACTAGCTCCTCCTCCCAGAACCTGAGACTCACTGTGGCCCTTCGCTTTCCTTCATTCATAGTTTTTCCTCTAAAATCTATCTCAACTCTCACCTGTTTCTTTCCACTCCTGCTTTGGGATCTGAAAACCTGCTATCCTAGAAGGCTTGATTACTTTCACTCCACCCCAGAATTCACCTGACTGGCTTAAACAGCAACTCTTTTTTTTTTTTTTTTTTTTTTTTTTTTTTGAGACAGAGCCTCAAGCTGTCCCCCTGGGTAGAGTGCCATGGCATCACACTTACGGCAACCTCCAACTCCTGGGCTCAAGCGAGTCTCCTGCCTCCGCCTCCCAAGTAGCTGGGACTACAGGCACCCGCCACAGCGCCTGGCCATTTTTTGGTTGCAGCCATCGTTGTTGTTTGGCGGGCCCGGGCTGGGGATTCGAACCCGCCACCTTAGGTGTATGTGGCTGGCGCCTTAGCCACTTGAGCCACAGGCGCCGAGCCTTAAATGGCAACTCTTAAGAGGAGCCTTCTCTGACTTGCTCTACCTGGAGAATCCCCTCGCCTCTACCTCTGTTTTCTTCTAACTGGGTCTGTATTGGTGGGTATCATAGCACCCAATGAATTTGCTCTTCATTTTTTTCTTTTTGTGTTTATGGTCTATATGAAACCCCATCTAGGGTTGAAAGGACCCTGTCTTTCATGTTCAGTACAATAGCCCTGCTCCTGGTAGGGTTTTTGCCACACGGTGGGCTTTCGATAATTTATGCAATGAAGGGAGGGAGGGAAGCCCTGGGTACCAAGCTCAGCTCTTCAGGGAATTGCTGTGTAACCTTGGACAAGTCACACCTATTCCCAAGGTTACTTACTTGATGTACTGACTATATCCTACCTCACTGAGGTCTTAGGGGAATCAGGAATCTTAAAGGGTTAAGATTTTCTGCAGTCCTTGTGTAACAAACTGTTGCAAGCCTCCAGATTAAACCCCAAATCTCAGAATGTTCTTTCAAGTACTTTCTTGCCTTTGCCCTTCAGACTACTTTTCCAAGAATAGGTAACAGTTAAATAATCTTCGGAGCATCTGCCTCTCCCCCTCCCTCCTGTGTTCTTATTCCACTGATGAATGTACCACATAACATCTCTGGTACTGGTAGGGAGAGCTTGGCTGCATTTTTGAACAGATTCTCCTACTTGCTACAAGTCCAGCTCTCTCTCCTCTGTTTTCCAGTGGTCTTTGAGAACCCTCAATCCTGTAGGCGATATAAATGCTCTGTAAACTACAATGAAGTGAACAAAAGGGAACAAACATTGTTGTAATTAGCCGGGTGCAATGGAGCACACCTGTAGTCCCAGCTAAGGCGAGGGGATCACTGGAGTTTGACACCAGCCTGGGCAATATGGCAAGACAGTATCTGGGAAAAAAAATGTTGGTGGAGCCCAAGAACAAGCTTATTGAATTGAATCAAAGACAGTCTATTGAGCAGAGATAACAAACCCATGAGAAAAATGCTGAGCCTGAGGCAGACAGGTATGGAAATGAAATGGCTCCCCACCAGCTAAGTGAAAAAGTGGGGTACAGCCTGGCTTATTTTCAGACCCACACCTCGGCTCAAAGCACATCACAGCTGGATTGAATCGCTAAATGGAATAAAAATCAGTTGGAGGGGGAGCTAGATTTGAATATTTATCGACTCTCCAGCGGGGATTACATGAAGCTTAAAAGAAATCAGAAATGAAAAAGACCTCATACAAATTCTTACTTGCAAAAACAAGCTAAATAAAACGTAAAATGAATGAGAAAAAATATTTTCCAACCAACTCTTTTGCTATATACAAAGCCTGTACAGGGCATCACCTGTGGCTCAGTGAGTAGGGCGCCGGCCCCATACGCCGAGGGTGGCGGGTTCGAACCCTGCCCAGGCCAAACTGCAACAAAAAATAGCCGGGCGTTGTGGTGGGCGCCTGTAGTCCCAGCTACTCAGGAGAGGCAAGAGAATCGCCTAAGCCCAAGAGCTGGAGGTTGCTGTGAGCTGTGACGCCTCAGCACTCTACTGAGTGCGACAAAGTGAGACTCTGTCTCTAAAAAAATAAAAAGAAATAAAAGCCTGTACAGCAGCAAATTGGATGGATTCACACAACTCCAGGTTCAAGCCCCAAGTCCCAGGTGAAGTGACTCCCGGCCCGTGGGCTGGCAG